AAACAGACGCGGAGAGCCCATCTTCGTCTCGTTCATCATCATCATCACTTTCGCTACTATTATCAGCCAAAGGCTCGTTTTGATACGGCAAAAATTCACCAGCAAGGACATGTTCGTCGCTTCCACTGCCGCTGGAATCATTATTTTCGTTGTAACCCTCACTACTATCGGACAAGGAGCTACATTCTTGGTCAGACATGTCAAAACTACAGAAATGTTGTTTAAAATACTAAAGCCAAAGTGTTAACTTTTGTATAGAACTTTGTTAATGCTGAAAGTGCAGCTAGTGTTGACTCTAACGTGTGACGTCACGCTCGGTTCCAGTCTCCTGGAAAATGTTTGTTAAAAATTCTAATGTTTGTATCCAAATAAAAGCATTTTCTCGCATTGTGATTAAAAAATAAATATTACCACGATAATCAGCGCATCAAAAAGTATCAAAAAAGTGAAAAAAATCATACACCAAAATTTCATGTCATAGGCACTTTAAAATATGTAATAAAAACATGTTGTATTTGAATACATACCAGATACGGGATAAATTTCCATGTTGACCGACACTTCGGAATAATTTCGCAAGTAGAATAGCGAGAAACCAAGACAACCAATTCAAGAATCAAGATAAAATCAAAATGCTTGTGATATTACTCTGAGTGTATATCCACACAGGGCAGGCTTGAAAAATATGCCTTGCCATGGTGGGATTCGAACCTACGACCTTTTGGAATACTAGCCCAATGCTCTGCCAACTGAGCTACACGGTCAGGACGGTTCGAGTATGCGATATTTCGGAACTGAGTCTAGTTCCTTCGATATCAGTGTAATCTAATAATCATGAAATTTGCTGTGTGGGTGTAATGTACTCAGGTGAATAAGATGCTTGTGTGATGTTACTCTGAGTGTATATCCACACCGGGCAGGCTTGAAAAATATGCCTGGAATCCCACCGTGGCCAGGCATATTTTCAGAGTAACATCACACAAGCATCTTATTCACCTGAGTACATTACACCAACACAGCAAATTTTAAAATCAAGATATTTTTGAAGCCAAAATCTGTGCCAAAATGGCAAACCCAATGTAAACACCTGAATAACACGAGGCAAAACCATGCCCGTTCGCAGGTCAGATGGCGGACACGATTAACATAATCGCTGATTGGCTTAAATTATCTAAGCTCGGTACGGTACGGTACGGTACGCTTGCAATAGCAATGTATCAGATACAAAAACTTGAAAACCCAAGATGTCATATATTTCGATGCCATCATCATAGATTAAGTAAGAACAGATGTGTAACTTCAGTTAAAAAGTTGTCCCTCGGTCGCCATGTTCCTAGCAAGTGTCGCTCGCGTGACAATTCGTCATTTGGTAATACGTCATTGCTTTCAAAATCTTTCAACACCTTTTCCACAACTTTAATTGCTTTTAACAATTTTGAACATTGAACAAATGATGCTCTTGATTGTCTAATCCATAAATTTCGATCCGAAAAAGCCGCAATATGCAAACGTTCGCGTTTTCCAGGACACCATCTTCCAAGCAAGTGTGATGGCGTGAGCATGACGTGTACATCTAGCCTAGATTCTAGGGAAATTTGAGGACACGAATTCCTATTAAGTTATACATCTGGGGCCGGTTGTATCAAAGGCGTTTAACTTAAACAGTGTTTAGCCGCTATCCAGCGTATAAATTTCTTATCCAGCGGATAGTTAAACGGCCGATAAAATTGCGTTGTACGAAGCCCGTTTAGTACCGCGTTTAACTATCCGTAGGATAACCTTTAATTTAACCGGAGAAAACCGGATTTTCTTGAAATTTCCTACCTCTACGTCAGCTGTTGCTAGGCCATTGTAAACTTTTGAAGCTTTATCTAACTTGTGAATTCCACTAAGCTTTTGCAATAAAGTTTGTTGTTGTTTTTATTTGGAGTTTGCTCGTCCATTCGTTGCTGCAAATCTATATCAAACTTTTCATTTTCACATTGTGCTGAGTTTCTCATTCACTTAAATTCACTTACGGATATTTCTTTAAAGATTTTTGGCTTCTTTATGCGAAGAGTCGAAGGCAATAGCAAAAACTGTGAGTTCTATTTGGCTTTTGTCAGTTGATTCAGTTTTATACTGTTTGAAATTTGTTCCTCGACCTTGCACTTTTGTTCAAAACAATTTTAAGAACATTTTGTCCCAAGTTTTGATTGGCTGATCAAAGCGATTAGCGCGAGCGAACAATTTTTTTCGACTTTCGGCGTCTTGTTGTCTATTTTGTATACTTGTTGGCTTTCCAAAGTCATTGTTTGTTTTACAATAGCTAAAATTGGGAGTCTTACTGCTTGTTTTCAAACTATATAATAGAAGAAAAGAAGGAGAAAAAGCCAGAGTATATATACTTAACATCTAAACATGAATATAGCGTAAATATAGCAAAGCCACGGAATTACAAGTGAGCAAGTGACCTCAGTGTACCCAGGGTGTACCTCAAGACCAAGCCAGTTAAAAGTGAGTTTTTCATGTTTATTGGATTTAAAAAGATAACTCCTCCACATGATTGTGCATTTTTATAACTATCCCATGCTTTTTCATCCGAAATAATCATTGTTTTATCTTCAAACTCCGAGTTTATCCTCCGTATAGCAATTTAAACGGTCTCAAGAGACCGTATAAGTTTACACGGTGGATAGGCAAAATTTAACCGGTGGATAGCCCTAAACGGGCTTGATACAACGCGATTTCTCGAGCGTTTAAATTTTATCCGGCGGATAGCGAGTTAAACGGTGGTTAGCGAGCTAAACGCCTTTGATACAACCGGCCCCTGGTATATACTTCATCTGTGCCATCATGCACCATCATCATCAGACTCAACTGATGACGGTGATGATTGAGGATGGTCTGATGATTTTCCAATAGTATCACATTTGGGTCTTGTTTTAGTCCATATTTTATATCTTTATTTTTCAAGATGTTTTCATTGTTCAGTTTTGTTTTTTTACTGTATTCCCCCAAATTGTCGGCTGGTTCTGGCTTTCACCA